AAGAAGATGATCAACACCCTTGCTAAAGCGTGACTCCTGTTGGTACGTGCTCTCAATTGGGCTACTTCGGAATGCTTTTGCTTAAATTTTTCAAGAGAATTTGAGGAGTTAATTTGATTTATTAAGAAATTCCCACTAATCTACTCGTCTTCCAAGACTGAGAATATAATTTAGCATAAGTTTTGATTAGAAATATTTTTTTTTGAAGATTTTCGATACTACGTTTCCGGTTGTTTTTCGCTTCATAATGCAAGTAATTTTCTCACAGTACGAAAATGAATTTAAAGGTGAGGAAGAAAACGAGAAGAAAAAAGAAGAGAAAGAGAACGAAGTGAAAAAAGGGGGAGGGAAGTATTAAAATATTTGTAATTGGTAAGAAATGTTTCGGTCCATTATGTCAAGACACCTTCGCTTCTTATAATGAGTAAATATGGGAAATTTTCGATTTCAGATTTTGCATTATTGTTTTTCCATGGTCAGTCACTCATTTTTTTTTTAACAAAAGGATGTACTTCTCTACTGGTTTTTGAGACTTTTTGAGGGGAAATTTCACATTTTTTGAGTAATATTTTTATTAGATATAAAATTTTTTCACACTCAAGTACGCTGTACTTTTCCTCACTGAATATTATAGAAACACCGAATATTATAAAAACTGATTATAGCACTGAATATTATAAAAACATACCATCAAAATACATGCACATGATTGGAGGGTTTGGTCTGGTTGCAGGGTTGGGATGAGACAGAAGGGTGAAGTGGTGATGTCCTCGTGAGTCGTATGACGTAGGGGTCGGGAGGGGCAACTTGGGGAAGTAGGAGGGGAAATTTTGAGGATGAGGGAGGGGTAATTTCAAAGACCCAATCTCCAAGCTGGAAGGTTTAATGGTCTGCACTGTTCGTGGTTTTAGGCCGGTTTCGGGATTGGGATGAGCTGGAGGGGTAAAATTGTGTTGTGACTGTTGGTCATATAGAATAGGACTCGGAAGGGGTAACTTGAGAGAGTGTGAGGGATAATTTTGGGATTGAGGGACGAGCGGGTGTAAAGGCTCGATTTCCATGCTGGAAAGCTTAATGATTTGTAGTGCCAATCGTGAAGAATGCATGGGCATGATCTTCATGCGGGACGCCTGGTAAAGCTGAAAAAAAAAATAATATTTAAATCATTGATATAGCTTTAGTTAAAGAATGCAAGAATAACAGGACCACCCGGCAAACAGTGTGGGTATCCATTGTTATTGTAAAGACGAAACCTTTGCCTCCCCATCCTCCAATCGAAATCATAAAACAAGAAAATAAAATAAAAAGCTGAGTCATCTTTCGATGACATTCCAGGTGAACGTCGGGAGGCGACGTTTCCGACGGGAATCACAATTTTCGCTCGGATTTCCGACAGGGACCCCACCCTCCGTTCCCAGTCCGCCTTTTCCCCTATCGTAGATTGAATCCACAACGGTAAAATCCATCCCTGTTATCCATAGCATCCATTCTGGAATCCTGGATGAAGGCCGTTTCGGAGATTGTAATGTATGATATCTATTACAAGAACATCAGTATATAAGACGGGTGATCCTCTTATTCGGGGCCCCATTCGTTCACGTCTACCGTCTGAGCGCCTTTCATCAACCGATCCATTTATACCAGTTCTGGTGATTCGTTGGATACCCATTCTGTTCAGTATCATTGTCTCATATAATGAAGTACCTTATTTAAGGTTAGGAAGAAAATATGAACAAAAAGAAGAAAAGGTTGTAAAGAATTATCAAAGTAGGTAAGAAATGTTTCGGTCCATTAAGTCGTATACATATCTTACCGTTACCACAGTTGGCTCAGCCTAGCACCCACATTGGTTCCTTCGATCGACACGCTCATACGCGGTACCAGAACAATTTAGTGAAAATTTACATTTTAACATTAGTGATTTTTATTGAAAATCCTACCATTTCGTTGTTTTGAATTGGAAAATTACTCGAAATTTTTCAGGCTTACCAAAGATGAATGTACTGCTGCACATTTCACACAATCGATTTCCATCAGCTGATCAGCATCGTAAGCGAACTGTACATGAGCATGATGTATTCGATCGACATAATCCAATCGATCAAATCTACCCCTTCGAAAATCGCGAGCCGTTTCCGAATGAATGAAAAGATTACACGTGATTCGGGTACAAGAATAATCTATTCCAGCTAAAGCAATCGCTTTTATAAAAAATTAAAAAATTTGTTGTTTTCAGGAAACAGCAAAAATAAAAACATGAAAAAAAGAACGCTGACCTGGTTCTTGAAGAATAACAGCATTATTCCCCTGCGCGATTAAATTACTAAATTTACTAAATTTGATTTTTACTAAAAAAATTTGCTAAATTTGATTCTTACTACTTTCTCTAAATTTTTGCTAAGTTTAAATATATTTACCTGTTTTCACTGAATTTAAAAAATTTACCAAAAAAAAAAATACTTACCAAAAAATTTTTCACCAAATTTTTACTAAATTTAAAAATATTTGAATTTGAACATGTAAAATATTTGAATTTTAACAAAAATTTAAAATTTTTGAAGCTCAAACAATATTCAGTAGATATTCAAATTCAAACGTCAAGCTACTTATTAGGTCTAAGCAGAATTATTAACGCTATTCAACCAGTACAGGCCAGTTAACAGAGAAGTAATTTTTAAAATATTGAGGACTGAAACGTATATTATAAGGTTTAGCTGGGATTAAGCTTTTTCGGATTATTAAATTACATACGTTTTAACTCAACGCCAAACTGGACTTGGTCAGTACGACAGTTGTGGTATAAATTACGACATAATAAATATAAATGGCAATGCGCACCAGACTAGCCGGTGCGGTTATGCGTTTTGTGCAATTCAGCCGATCGAACGATTGCCTGTTAATGATTTTCACTGCTTTGTACTTT